TCGGATGAGATGGGAAGCCTAAGTGAGGAGGATGAGGAAGAAGTTTATGTAGATGAACCTCATCAGATTGACAAAGATGTTGGTGTAACTAAGGTTGTAGACACAGCTTTGGAGGTAAATAAAGCTCTAGGCTTGTTTTTTTTTTGGGAGGTGAGTCTCTTACTAGGAGGATGTTCAAAGAACTAGAGGAATGCTACATGTTGCCTGTTAGGGAGAGTGCACTCACCGCTAATCAATGAAGGCCACAATAACATAACTACAACTAGTCTGGAAGAGGATGTTAGTAAAAGGACTGAAGCTTTGGTTGATGACCAGTTATTTCAGGAAAACACAGTGCTGGAGTTGGAAAGGATTAATGGGAACCCCTCTTGCTCGTTGGAATTTCAGAAGAAAATTTTAGCAAATAGAAGATTTAAAAAACACAGAAAACAGTGAGATGTTCTGGGTTTTTTTTTTTTTTTGATCAATAACAATGAACTTTTATTAATAAAGATTGAGATAATCAGAGTTACAAAGAAGGGAGCTAAATAGTCTTAACTCCCAACTACCCAAGGTACAATCTGACCATGAATCAAATACAATTACACTGACAAAACAGCCCAGAACATAGTATTCCTGTTTACCCCTTGCTTAGCTAGACCATCTGCCAATGCATTTGCAGTTCTCTTTGTCCATGTACAATGTATTTCCATGTCCTTGGTGAGACACTTGAACTTCCTCTTTCATTGCTGTATTTCCAGAGCATAGAATTGTCCTCTGTTAGCCAATTCACCACAATTTCAGAATCACCTTCTATGATCAACTTTTTAATATTCAGCTCTTTGGCTCTTTGTATCCCTTCAATAGCTCCTAGGATCTCAGCCCTCAAAGAGTCTCCTACCCCAATCGGACCAGAGTACATAGCCAACAAATTTCCTGCTTCATCCCTTGTTACTCCCCCTATTCCAGAAGGCCCTGCATTGCCTATGCTACTACCATCAAAATTCAGTTTGGTGAACCCAAGAGGTGGAGGTGTCCAACAAGAATTTATGTTCTTCTTGCTTGAGCCTGTTTCTACAATCTCCTTCCAGCTCCTTATCATCTCATCAACTGAGAACACTTTAAACAATTCCAATGTTCTCAGCCAATGTACCATCCTGATGTGGATAGTCTCAAGGATTTCATCAGTACTTCTCTCCGTATCTAAGAATATCCTTGAGTTTCTCTCCTCCCAAACAGTCCAACATATCACAGCCCTACCACATCTCCACATGATTTTGGCCCTTTTGGTTGGTCAAATGGGCATGGAAGTAAATAAGCTTTGCACATTCGAAGGAGTCCACCTGCACCCAAACAAAGAAGTAAACCATTGCCAAATAACCTTAACAAACTGACAAGAAATTAGTAAATGGTATCCAGACTCACCATCAGATTTACAGAGAACACACCAGTGAGGAGACAAACAGCTTTTGGGTCTTTTTCTTTGGAGTAGATCCCCTGTATTAACTCTTTCTAGAAAGGCTTCCCAACAGAAACTCCCAACCTTTGGAGGTATAGGTCGACACCATACATCTTTGACAGGAAACGACAAACCAACCAGAGGAGAGGGTAACAGTGCTCTAAAGAAGAAGGCACAAGTGTAAAAACCCGAGGGAGTGAGTGTCCATATTCTACTATCTGGCTTTAATGGCTCAATGAAGACCCCTTCAAGGATGGAAAGTAAGGCTAAAGTACAGTCTAACTCTGTGTCCCTGGCATCTCTTCTCATACTCAAATTCCATCCAAACCCAAAAGGTGAATTAGAAGGAACAAGAAAAGAGGAAACTGGTTCATTTTTAAAGGTAGAGATAGCATAAAGGCTTGGAAATTGATCTTTCAATGAGGAGCCCCCAACCCAGACATGTTCCCAAAACTTAATGAGGTTACCTAAGTGCAAATCATACCCAATCCATGGAGAGAACGAGGGCAAGATGGCTTGAATAGCTTTCCAAGGAGAAGCTGTTGTGGCCCTAGCTAGAATCCCAGAGTCCCATCCATTGTCTGCCAGCCCATGTATACTTCCCACTATCTTAACCCACAATCTTTCTTTCTCCACCGAGAACCTCCATAGCCATCTCCCTAGTAATGCTAAGTTCCTAGTTCTAATGTTCCCAATCCCCAAACCTCCCTCCTTTTTGCCCCTACCAATGAGATGTTCTGGTTTCAAAGGCTTTTGCTAGACTAAAAGGGGGCCTCTTTGGGATTAAACCAAGCAAGAAGATTTTGAAGATCAAGAAAACCTCTAAAAGTTTTTAGTGTCCGTGGTTTAGAGGCTGCAGTGCTTGAGGTGGTTTTGGTGCTGGTTTTTCGTGGGAGGTCGTTGCTTTCTCGTGGGTTTCAAGTGAATAGTGATTTGCTTGTGCTGTCTTTGAGGTTTAATTTTTTTGAGTTGCTTGATCTTTGGTTGCTCTAGTTTGTCTTTAGTGGTCTTTTGAGCTTTTGGGTATTGGTGTTATTGTTGAGTCCGAGTTGGTTTGGTTTCTTGTTTTGAGAGCTGGAGTTGTTTTTTCTTCTCTCTCAAGAGACTTCAGGTCACTCCCCTTTTGTACTCTCTTTTTCTTTTTTAATAATTTTTTCTCTTACCAAAAAGAATACAAAAGATCTTTGTTAACCCCTGTTTGGCTAAAGTATCAGCCAGCTCATTTGCCAATTTCTGCACCCATTATATTTTTATATTCATGTTCCTTGTCAACCATTTGATATTTTTTTTATCTCATTCCTGTATCCCCAAGCTGCTTTGTCATTATTTTCTAGCCATTCAACCATGACCATGGAGTCGAGTCCGGATCTTCGGCCCACACAAACTTTGTCCACGTCTATCCACATAACATCGCAGCCACACATGGAGAACATCTCATCCTCCTACATAGTATTATGCAGGGGGAGATGTTCCTAATTCACAGGGGTAGTGTGTTGTGGGTAGACGTGGTCAGAGTTCTCGTGGGCAGGTGATCCGGAGTCCATGGAGTCACCCTCAATGGTTAACTTATCCCAAAATGCAAGAAACAAATAGACTGGAGATTAGTAAATGATAGCATATCTCATCATTGTCCTTGCAAAGAACACATCAATTTGGGATAAACACCAGTTTGATCTTCTCCTTTGTAAAGTGCCCATAGTGCTAACCTTCTCATGATACGCGCCTCCCAACAAAAAGCTCCAACTTTGTAGGGAATGGCCTTGGACCAAACTTATTTTGTGGGAAAGACAATTGAGATGAAAAGAAGGGATAAAGGGTTTGGAAAAAAAAGGAGGCAGAAGAAAAGGAACCCAAAGAATAAGGAATCCAAATACACTTATCAGCCTTAGAAGGACCCAAACAAACCGCTTCTAGGAATTGCAGCAGATTGACTACATTATGAAACTCACAGTCCCTTAACCCTCTTCTTAGCCCTAAATCACAATCTTAGATGATGAAGAGATGGAAAAAACTTCAAAATCGGTTCCCTTTCCATAATTGGAAATGGAGTACAAAGATGGAAAGACACTTGTCATAATGAACTGTGAACTCTCATGCTTGTCAGCCTGAGGTTTTACCAATTATGGAAAGGGACTGTGAGTTTGCTGGTAAAAATATCAAAATTCTCAATATACCCCCTCTTGTGAAAACATCAGGTAGAGAGTTAGCAATCTACAAACTCAATGGAACTAGGAGTTCATTCAAGATAAAAACAACCATGTGCTTCAATCTCAAAGCAGTCTCCCTGCCCTACATGAACCATCTCTATCCTGCATTCACCTTATCACAACCCATGAGTTGCCCTCAACTGTCCTTTAAGACAACATAATACACCCCCCCCCCCGCAATATTTACAGCGCTGCTAGATTTCTAATACCATATCAATGCCCAAAATGTTAAAATCTTGAAACAATCTAGAAATAGTTGTTGGATTCAAAAAGGTTTTTTTTTCAATGATACAGACATGCAAACATCCTCCAAAATGTAAATTTGATGATGGTAATTGGAAGATAAATGGATTTACGTAAGTAAGCATGTATTTACTGTAGAAATATTGGGCTGGATGGGCCTTAGTTTAGTTCAGTTTTATGTTTATTATTTTTTGTGTTAATGGACCTTTAGTCTCATGGACCTGTTAACCTTTTTTCTTTAAGTTTATACGCAGCCGCTCTATGCAAGGGTATTTATGTAATTACCTCTAAGCTAGATTTTAAAAATAAAAAGTTTGGGACCGGATAGAGAGAATGATTGGCATTCTCCTCCTGTCTTCTCTTTCTCTCTTGCTCTCATACTCTTTCTTTTGTTGTTTTTATTGATTAAACAATCAGTTGCTGGATAGTTTTCTTCTTTTACATATATAACCAATCATGCATCTTTATGATAGAAAATCGAATAGAACATTTCTGAATTGGAAAGATAATAACTTGAGAAAAGCACAATCCAATGGATGATAGAAAACAATTTCTCCATTTTTCTGTAGAAGCTTTGAGGAAGTGATCCATCTTTTTGTCAGACAGTTTCTCCAAATGCATTTGGATGTTTTCACACTCTTTGAGATGGAATTTTGGTCTCCAAGTTCCCCTGCAGAAATTTATTCTTCCTGGCCAGTTTTGAATGGAAATAAGTCTGCGGTAATTTTTTTAAGACTATCAAGAAGTAAGAAAAGCTTTGTTCAATTATAGGAAGAAACTCTTGGATTGGATATTGATTCTTGCAGAGTTTTTGGGTCCTTCAAGAGCTTCATTTGTGGTTGAGTTTTGGTCTTCTTTGGAATTAGAAATGGGAGATTGATGTAATGTTTTTTTTTCTTTTTCTATGTAATTTTTGCTTTCTTTGGTGATCCCTCTTCACCTTTCGGATTGTACTCCTTTTATCTTTTAATGAATTTTTTTTCTATTTACTTCCAAAGTTGTATGCACTTCATGATGAAAGATAAATTACTTGAGAAGAAAAGGCAACAATAACCATAAAAGCCAGTACAGAGCATGCCCTGCTTTGGGGTTTGGGAAACAAAATTACTTACCCTTCCAAATGCATCCTTTATGGATGATGATATATACGAGTCAACCTGATCTCGATCTGTCGTGTATGCTGATTTCATGGCCTGCATGAAATAATAAACAATATCAGTCCCAACCTTCATGAGTTGGCAACATGTATTGACATGAAGCCAGAGGATTTCAGTGGCACGAGGGTGGATCCTAATAGCAATTGTTCAGTTAGATCTTTGTTACGAGATTAGCAATTTGGTAATGCATTTTAAATTGGGGGATATGGGAGAACCCAATTCCTCTTACAGACACTAATGGCTAGAAACTTAAGACCCATAGTCCTCAATTAGATAATTGGTTTTAAATAGGAATGCAACTTAGGACAGATTGGGTTGGTAAGTTTTTAGAATTTAAGTGATCCAGGCTTGAAGGGCCGGGCCTGATGCAATGTAAATTCTTCAAATCAGGTATCCAACTCGCACTGGTAGTTCTAAATGTATAAAAGGAGCAAAGGATGCATGAGCCACCTTTTCTTCATTATGACACGGCCAGTCATGCAACATTTCCTCTCTGTTTGGAACATTCAGGCTCTTTGTCTCCTTGGGAGCTGTTTAGTTCTAGGGCCAGTTCCACTTGAGGAATTAAGGGTTGATAGTCAACCTTTTGCAATATTTTGGGATGTTTACAAGGAGTAACACAGAAGAATATTTTATATGGTGCAATATCTTTCAAAAATAATGAAGACGGATATGTACTTGTTTATGTTTTTGATCTGGCATCACACTTGAGAGGTTTTTGAGAATTGGAATCATCCATTCTATTGGCATCCATACTATTTTTTGGAGGGATGTTAATAAATATATACACACAAATGCATGCGTATAACACTTACATGGGGAAATGCTTTCAAAGAAATATGTATAATTTGTGTTTACTTTTTGGCAGAATTAAAATTGGTTTACAGAATAAAAGACTAAAGTAGCTGGACTTGCAAAACAAAGAAAATGATTCAGTTGATTCCCAAACCATATAGTTGTAATCACATTTCCAGAGAATATTGACTTGTAATAGTATGGATCAAGTCCAGGAAAACAGAAAAAGAAAAAAAAAGTAAAACACAAACCAGATCAGGATCTTCCAAGAGAAGCCTCCGAGCAGTAATTGCAACTGTAGCTATCTCTTTCATCATTTTTGACCCCTAAAAAGATGAGAAATTGCAGTATTGAATTGCAAAAATTCAGCAGTTGTCATAGAACCAGTTTAGCAGGCTAGGAAAGAGGAAATTGCCAAATTTACAAGACAACTAATTTAGATAAGATAAAGGAACATCAAATAGTACATTCAGTTCACAAGGCTGGGCTAAATTAAAAGGCAGGAAAACAAGGTTGAAGATATCCAACAAGGCAAAAGAGCACACGATATCTTTGCCTCAACCAATTAAAGTTAACCATTTTTTTTCTATAGAGACTGGTTAAAACTGATATCCAATAGAGGTTAATTATGCGGTGGCCAACTCCAACATAGAAAAATGCAAGGAAACTTTCTATAGAGTTTGAATAAATCAAAAAAACAAGTATAAAGCACCTAATTTCTCATGCCACTCTAAATAATGGCATGATTCGGTTGTAAATCACACCTGCAATAATCTGAATTAAAAGAAAAGAAACAGGAGAAAAGGAGATTGAAGAAGAGAAGTGATAGAAGATGGAAGAAAAAGAAGAAGAGAGAGTAGTTCAAAACCTCTCTTCAGCCCCCAATGATAAAAGAAGGAGATTGAAGAGAGAGAAGTGGAGGAAGAAGATGGAAGAAAAAGAAGAAGAAGAGAGAGTAGTTCAAAACCTCTCTTCAGCCCCCAATGATCTCCTTTATTCTTTTGTTGTAAAAAAGTAAGGACAATTACATGAGTGTCCATAGTAGGGTGTCCATCACTAAAGACAGCAATAAAAAACAACAAAAAAAAAGAGAGAAAGCAGGCCCATACTAAGGCCCAATACCTATTAACACAAGTCACAAACATAACTTAAAGAAAAACAAAGAAACTAAGGCCCATTCAGCCCATTATCTCTACAGATTGTAAGGTAATAATAAAGTAGAAATTTCATTGCAAGAAATAGTGCAGCAACAAATAAAGAGAAGAACCTTTTCCAAATACAAGTCACAAATGGAGAGGAGGTTAGTGAGTGGTAGCAGCTCTCACCAGAAACCTTGCAAAGGATACACCAATTTGGAGATAAGCAGCTATTAGGCCTTCTTTTTTGTAGCAGATCAAGAGTGTTAATTTTTTATGGAAAACTTCCCAACAGAAATCCCCCATACTCCACTTCAAGTGGGATAGGACTGCTCCAACTTCCTTAATTGGAAACAATCGCATAGGGGAGGGGTAATAGGAGAGAACTTTAGAGGAGGCACATCAGAAGACCCCTGAAAAATTAGGAACCCCAATACAACCATCAGGATTAGAGGAATCAAAAAAGCCCCCTCCAACACATGAAGCAAGCAAATGACATCAGGAAGCTTAGTGTCCCTTGCACCTCTTCTAAAACCCAGATCCCAATTCAAGCCATTAAGGGATGAATGAGAGAACTTTAGAGGAGACACAAGTGAAGACCCCTGAAAAATTAGGAACCCAAATACAACCATCCAGAGTAGAGAAATCCAGAAAATCCCCCTCCAACACATGAAGCAAGTGAATGACATCAGGAAGCTCAGTGTCCCTTACACCTCTTTGAAAACCCAGATCCCATTTCAAGCCATTAAGGGGCAAAGGAGAGGAAGACCCAATGAATCTAGACACCACTTCCCGTTTAAGGTGGAGATTGAGAATAAGGAAGAAAAACGGTCTAAGGAGAGTCCCCCACCGAAACATGTTCCTATAACAGAATCTTATCCCCAAAACAAGCATCATATCTGATGCAATTAACAAAAGAAGGTAGACTACCATGAATTGCTTTCCACAATGAAGAAATTGTAGCCCAAGCAGAAAGGATTGCATCTCAACCATTATCCACCAACCCATGAATACTTACTATCACCCAACTCCACAATTTATCCCCATCTCTTGGCAATCTCCATAACCACTTCCCAAGCAAAGCTCTATTTTTTAAGCCTATTTTCCCTAACCCCAACCCACCAAGCCTCTTGCTCCTAGTCTCCTACACACTATTTTTTTTTTTTTATAAGAAACTCCAAATTTTATTAATCAAAGACTTAAAGTATTATAAGCATTACAAGCATCCATTAGAGAGGCACAAGATGCTACCTCTCCCACACACTATCTCCTACTTCACCAAATGGTCCTTCTTACCTTCCCCCAGTTCCCACAAGTAATCTCTGATTATCTTAGAATATCTTTTCAGCCATACCCCTTGTGGGATTATAAAAACAAACAAGTAATATACTAGAAAGTTAGCCAGAGTGGATTTCATTAGAGTAATTCTACGCCCAATAGATATAGTTCATCTTCCAAACCCGATAGGCACTTAGGAAACCTCTTTAGGACCAGGTTCTAGAAGTTGTTCTCTCTCGGGTTTGCTCCTAAGGGTAATCTTAGGTCATTCATTGGATAATTGAGCACCCTATTATACCCACACACTAGTTTCAAAATTAATCCTCAAATATCCTCTCAAACAGTTCCACTGTCAATCTCAAATTCCTAACCCAAAATGAATTTCCTCCTTCACAAACTAATATAATGTCATATGCAAATTGTAGATGGGTTATGACCACATTCTCCTTGCCTATTCTCGAACATCTAATGAATTGCATTCTATCCATCCTTGAAATTAATCTATTAAAGACATCAGCTGTTAAAGTAAATAAGAAGGGTGATAAGGGATACCCATGTCTAAGCCCTATACAAGCTGGGAAAATTTCTTTACTACCCCCTTCACCAAGACAACTGAGTAATGGAAATATTCAATGCACCCAAAAATCCATCTACACCATGTTTCTCCAAACTCACATCTTCTCATTATTTTCATTAAAAATGACCAGTAAACTGAATAATAAGCTTTGTTAATATCCAATTTATATACCAGGCCTTTCTTCCTAGATATTTTCATCACCACCACACATTCATTCGCAATTAAGATTTGATCTATGATTTGTCTATCCTACACAAAAGCTCTTTGAATGGAGGTAATTATAGAGGGAAGTACCTTCTTTAAGCTCAAGGAGAGAACCTAGGCCTTGATCTTATACACACTAATCGCCAAACCAATGAATCTAAAATCTTTAGGATGACCAACATCAAATTTCTTTGGGATCAAAGCCAAAAAGAAGTTGCATTTAGCCCTGGGTTGATTATTCCCTCTCACAAAATCCTCAAACACCTCCATCAAATCACTTTTTCATTTGTCTCAGTAATCTTAATAAAAAGCCATAGTAAATCAATCCGGTCCTGGAGCTTTTGATTTGTTTGAGAAAAAATGCTACTTTCTATTTCTTCCTCACTAAATCTGCCTTCTAATAATTCATTATGTTCCCTAGTCACATAAGGCCATTCCCAACCTTCAACTAATAATCTCTCCTCCAGAGGCCTTCTATAGATTGATTTAAAATGATCCACAAATGCTTCAGCAATTTCCTTCTAATGTCTCAAAAGTCAAAACACCACCATTCACTTCCAGACTAGACACAAAATATTTCTTCCTTCTCCCATTTGCCACTACATGAAAAAAAAATATTGTATTTCCATCTCCTTTATTCTTTTATTCCTTGATTTTTGCCTCCAAGATAACTCTTCCCTAAATAGTGTATCCTCCAACTCCTTTCTTAACTTCCATTTCATCCACTTATCCTCTTCCCCAAACTGTCCACTACCTTCTTTCCTATTTAGGGAACATTCTTTTTTTGGATTTTGAGAGGGAGGAAAGGTGGTCAATGGGATTTTGGTTCCCATTGACCAAGAATCCCATGTTCTTTTTTCAGATTTATGTGGGGACCAGGGAAAGTTTATTTTCCTGGGTATCACTTACCCGGGTAAGTGATACCCATCTCCTAGGTGGGTAAATAACTTTTCCACATAGGGGGAAAGTTGCCAGCACTTGAATGAGGCAAGAATGCCCCTTTTAATAATGGATTTTTATGGCTAAAATGGTCATTGCCTTATTTACCTGGGAAACAAAAGAACATGGGTAAATGCAGTTATCTGGGTAAGTGTTTCCCAAGAAAAACTTACCCAGGTAATTGCATTTACCCGGGTAAGTAACTTACCGAAAAGCGAATGGGGCCTTAATTGTTCAACTTGACTTGATAGCTCAAAATTTTTCTACTTGACCCGTCCATATTGTTCCTCGTACCACACTATTAACCTAGCATTGACCCTTTTCAATTTGTTATATATTCCATACTTTTCCACTTCATAGGTCTTCCTCACCCCACCATTCTTCCACTTTACTCAAAAAAACCCAGATGGGAGACATATTTTCAAATCTAAATAGATGTGGCCCCCCATCACCCTCTCTTGTATGTGGTGATACCTTATCAGCTGCTAGGTTGTATCTCTTTTTTCTTTTAATGAAATTTTATTTTACCATTAAAAAAAACTTGAGTTTATGGGTGTTAGAGTTAGCCGAATAAGGGTAGATTAGTCAACTCACCTTGGTTAGGTTATGAGCTTATGTGGCAGTCTTATTAGAGGTTCTCTGTCCCATACTTAA